ACATCCCACCTCACCTCCAATCACATCTTCCACTTCACTCCACATCCACCCACATCCAGTCACTTCACATCCCACCTCACTCACCTCCACATCCACCACATCCAGTCACTCACATCCCACCTAAACACTTTCCACCTCCACATCCACCACAATCCAGTCACTCACATCCCACCTAAACCACTTTCTCATCCACATCCAGTCACTTCACATCCCACCTAAACCACTTTCCACCTCCACATCCACCCACATCCAGTCACTTCACATCCCACCTAAACCACTTTCCACCTCCACATCCACCCACATCCAGTCACTTCACATCCCACCTAAACCACTTCCACCTCCACATCCACCCTCATCCAGTCACTTCACATCCCACCTAAACCACTTTCCACACATCCAGTCACTTCACATCCCACCTAAACCACTTTCCACCTCCACATCCACCCACATCCAGTCACTTCACATCCCACCTAAACCACTTTCTTCCACATCCAGTCACTTCATCCCACCTTTTCCACCCACATCCAGTCACTTCACATCCCACCTAAACCACTTTTCCACCTCCACATCCACCACATCCAGTCACTTCACATCCCACCTAAACCCACTTTCACCTCCACATCACCCACATCCCACCTAAACCACACCTCCACATCCACCCACATTCCACCATCCACCACCACTTCCACTCCACATCCAGTCACTTCACATCCCACCTAAACCACTTTCCACCTCCACATCCACATCCAGTCACTTCACATCCCACCTAAACCACTTTCTCACCTCCACATCCACCCACACATCCCACCTAAACCACCACTCCACATCCACCTTCACACCTAAACCACTTTCCACTCCACATCCACCCACATCCAGTCACTTCACATCCCACCTAAACCACTTTCCACCTCCACATCCACCCACATCCAGTCACTCACATCCCACCTAAACCACTTTCTCACTCCATCCACCCACATCCAGTCACTTCACATCCCACCTAAACCACTTTCCACCTCCACATCACCCACATCCAGTCACTTCACATCCCACCTAAACCACTTTCCACCTCCACATCCACCCACATCCAGTCACTTCACATCCCACCTAAACCACTTTCTCACCTCCACATCCACCCACATCCAGTCACTTCACATCCCACCTAAACCACTTTTCCACCTCCACATCCACCCACATCCAGTCACTTCACATCCCACCTAAACCACTTTCCACCTCCACATCCACCCACATCCAGTCACTTCACATCCCACCTAAACCACTTTCTCACCTCCACATCCACCCCATCCAGTCACTTCACATCCACCTAAACCACTTTCCACCTCCACATCCACCCACATCCAGTCACTTCACATCCCACCTAAACCACTTTCACTCCACATCCACCCACATCCAGTCACTTCACATCCCACCTAAACCACTTTCCACCTCCACATCCACCCACATCCAGTCACTTCACATCCCACCTAACCACTTTCCACCTCCACATCCACCCACATCCAGTCACTTCACATCCCACCTAAACCACTTTCCACCTCCACATCCACCCACATCCAGTCACTTCACATCCCACCTAAACCACTTTCACCTCCACATCCACCCACATCCAGTCACTTCACATCCCACCTAAACCACTTTCCACCTCCACATCCACCCACATCCAGTCACTTCACATCCCACCTAAACCACTTCCACCTCCACATCCACCACATCCAGTCACTTCACATCCCACCTAAACCACTTCCACCTCCACATCCACATCCAGTCACTTCACATCCCACCTAAACCACTTTCCACCTCCACATCCATCCAGTCACTTCACATCCCACCTAAACCACTTTCCACCTCCACATCCACCACATCCAGTCACTTCACATCCCACCTAAACCACTTTCCACCTCCACATCCACCACATCCAGTCACTTCACATCCCACCTAAACCACTTTCCACCTCCACATCCACCACATCCAGTCACTTCACATCCCACCTAAACCACTTTCCACCTCCACATCCACCCACATCCAGTCACTTCACATCCCACCCCACTTTCTCACTTCACATCCACCACATCCAGTCACTTCACATCCCACCTAAACCACTTTCCACCTCCACATCCACCCACATCCAGTCACTTCACATCCCACCTAAACCACTTTCCACCTCCACATCCACCCACATCCAGTCACTTCACATCCCACCTAAACCACTTTTCCACCTCCACATCCACCCACATCCAGTCACTTCACATCCCACCTAAACCACTTTCCACCTCCACATCCACCCACATCCAGTCACTTCACATCCCACCTAAACCACTTTCCACCTCCACATCCACCCACATCCAGTCACTTCACATCCCACCTAAACCACTTTCCACCTCCACATCACACCACACATCCCACCTAAACCACTTTCCACCTCCACATCCACCCACATCCAGTCACTTCACATCCCACCTAAACCACTTTCCACCTCCACATCCACCCACATCCAGTCACTTCACATCCCACCTAAACCACTTTCCACCTCCACTCCACCCATCCAGTCACTTCACATCCCACCTCCACACCCCACATCCAGTCACTTCACATCCCACCTAAACCACTTTCCACCTCCACATCCACCCACATCAGTCACTTCACATCCCACCTCCACTTTCCACCTCCACATCCAGTCACTTCACATCCACCTAAACCACTTTCCACCTCCACATCCACCCACATCCAGTCACTTCACATCCCACCTAAACCACTTTCCACCTCCACATCCACCCACATCCAGTCACTTCACATCCCACCTCACACACATACCCCACACACCTCCACATCCACCCACATCCAGTCATCACATCCCACCTAAACCACTTTCTCCACCACATCCAGTCACTTCACATCCCACCTAAACCACTTCTCACCTCCCATCCACCCACATCCAGTCACTTCACATCCCACCTAAACCACTTTCCACCTCCACATCCACACATCCCACCTAAACCACTTTCTCACTCCACATCCAGTCACTTCACATCCCACCTAAACCACTTTCCACCTCCACATCCACCCACATCCAGTCACTTCACATCCACCTAAACCACTTTCTCACCTCCACATCCACCCACATCCAGTCACTTCACATCCCACCTAAACCACTTTCCACTCCACATCCACCCATCCAGTCACTTCACATCCCACCTAAACCACTTTCCACCTCCACATCCACCCACATCCAGTCACTTCACATCCCACCTAAACCACTTTCCACCTCCACATCCACATCCAGTCACTTCACATCCCACCTAAACCACATCCACATCCAGTCACTTCCCACCTAAACCACTTTCCACCTCCACATCCACCCACATCCAGTCACTTCACATCCCACCTAAACCACTTTCCACCTCCACATCCACCCACATCCAGTCACTTCACATCCCACCTAAACCACTTTCCACCTCCACATCCACCCACATCCAGTCACTTCACATCCCACCTAAACCACTTTCCACTCCACATCCACCCACATCCAGTCACTTCACATCCCACCTAAACCACTTTCTTCCACATCCACCCACATCCAGTCACTTCACATCCCACCTAAACCACTTTCCACCTCCACATCCACCCACATCCAGTCACTTCACATCCCACCTAAACCACTTTTCCACCTCCACATCCACATCCAGTCACTTCACATCCCACCTAAACCACTTTCTCACCTCCACATCCCCCACATCCAGTCACTTCACATCCCAGCCTAAACCACTTTCCACCTCCACATCCACCCACATCCAGTCACTTCACATCCCACCTAAACCACTTTCCACCTCCCACATCCAGTCACTTCACATCCCACCTAAACCACTTTCACCTCCACATCCACCCACATCCAGTCACTTCACATCCCACCTAAACCACTTTCCACCTCCACATCCACCACATCCCACCTCCACACACATCAGTCACTTCACATCCCACCTAAACCACTTTCCACCTCCACATCCACCCACATCCAGTCACTTCACATCCCACCTAACCACTTCCACCTCCACATCACCCACATCCAGTCACTTCACATCCCACCTAAACCACTTTCCACCTCCACATCCACCCACATCCAGTCACTTCACATCCCACCTAACCACTTTCTCACCTCCACACATCAGTCACTTCACATCCCACCTAAACACTTTCCACCTCCACATCCACCCTCATCCAGTCACTTCACATCCCACCTAAACCACTTTCCACCTCCACATCCACCCACATCCAGTCACTTCACATCCCACCTAAACCACTTTCTCACCTCCACATCCACCCACATCCAGTCACTTCACATCCCACCTAAACCACTTTCCACCTCCACATCCACCACATCCAGTCACTTCACATCCCACCTAAACCACTTTCTCACCTCCACATCCACCCACATCCAGTCACTTCACATCCCACCTAAACCACTTTCTCACCTCCACATCCACCCACATCCAGTCACTTCACATCCCACCTAAACCACTTTCTCACTCCACATCCACCCACATCCAGTCACTTCACATCCACCTAACCACACCTCCACATCCACCCACATCCAGTCACTTCACATCCCACCTAACCCACTTTCTCACCTCCACATCCAGTCACTTCACATCCCACCTAACCCACTTTCTCACCTCCACATCCCCCACTCACCTTCACTCAAATTCTGGATGTTGGGGTCAGCGCCGACCTCCAGGAGATGCCTGACGACCTCCGTGTGGTTCCGGTTGGCGGTCCAGATGAGAGCAGTCGTTCCTTGAGGGGAGAAGGGGAGGGGAGGGTTTAGAGAGTGAGATGAGAGAGGGGAGGGAGAGGGGGAGGGAGAGAGGAGAGAGAGGAGAGGGAGAGGGAGAGGGAGGAGAGGGGGGGAGAGGAGGGAGGGAGGGAGGGAGGGAGGGAGGGAGGGAAGGGGAAGGGGGAGGAGGAGGAGAGTGTTAGAGAGAGAGAGGTGAGGTGAGGTGAGGTGAGGGAGGGGGGAGGGGAGGGAGCGAGGGAAGGAGGGAGAGGGAGAGGAGAGGGAGAGGGGGAAGAGGGTGAAGGGGAGGGAGGGAAGGAGGGAGGAGAAGGGGAGAGAGAGAGGGAGAGGGAGAGGGAGGGAGGGAGGGAGAGAGGGAGGGGAGGGAAGGAGAGCGAGCGAGCGAGCGAGCGAGCGAGCGAGAGAGAGAGAGAGAGAGAGAGAGAGAGAGAGAGAGAGAGAGAGAGAGAGAGAGAGAGAGAGGAGAGAGGAGAGAGAGAGAGAGAGAGAGAGAAAATAAGAGAACGAGAGACAGCGAAAATGACAAGAGATAATAAGAGAAAGATAGAAACAACGAGAGAAAATAAAGAGCTGACATCAACCGACCAGAAAGAACCAAAACAACTAAACAAAACAACAACAACAAAAAAAGAACACGCAAAAAAAGAAAGAAAAAAAAAAAAAAAAAAAAAGTAAAAAAAAAGAACATATAAAAAAAGAAAAAAAGAAAAAGAAAAGAAAAAAGAAAAAAAGAACATACAAAAAGAAAGAAAAAGAAAAAGAATATATCCACTCCTTCAAAATCCAAACTTCACTCACCTTCATTATTCTTGTGGTCGACGGCAGCGCCTTGGCCGAGCAGAAACTTAACAACTTCTAAGTGGTTTTCCTTCGCTGCCTGAATCAGTGGTGTATTTCCTGATGATGAAGAAAAGAAAAGAAAAAAAAAGATTACTGCTGGACGAAAAGAAACAAGAACATGCGAGAGACAAAATTGATTGAAAAGAAAGGAAAAGAAAAAAAAAAAAAGATTTACCGCTGGACGAGAAGAAACAAGAACACATGCGAGAGACAAATTAACAAATTAAAAATAGAATTAATTGAAAAGAAAGGAAAAAAAAAGATTTATCACTGGACGAAAAGAAACAAGAACATGCGAGAGACAAAAATTGATTGAAAGAAAAGGAAAAGAAAAAAAAAAAAAGATTTACCGCTGGACGAGAAGAAACAAGAACATGCGCGAGAGACAAATTAACAAATTAGAAATAGAATTAATTGAAAAGAAAGGAAAAAAAAAGATTTATCACTGGACAAGAAGACACAAGAGCACATGCGAGAGACAAATTAATAAATTAAAAATAAAATTAATTGAAAAGAAAGGAAAAAAAAAAAGATTTATCACTGGACGAAAAGAAACAAGAACACATGCGAGACACAAATTAACACTCGAGATGGTTAACTGAATAAATGTTTATTTTAAAACAAGCAGTTAAATTTATCTAGAGTCGGGTGTATAACTCTAAGAATATAAACATATATGTCTATCTACCTGTTTATCTATCTACAATGTTTGTATCTATGTATATCTCTAAGCCTATAAACATACATTTCTATCTACCTGTTTGTCTATCTACCTATCTACATAACTAAAAATTCGAAGACCAAAAAAATATCTATCTATCTATATAAACCTATAAGTCGATCTACCTGTTTATCTATCTAAGATGTGTGTATTTAATATGTATGTATATACTAAGCCTATAAACATATATATATATATATATATATATATATATATATATATAATATATATATATATATATTATATATATATATATATATATAACTGTTTATCCATCCATCTATCAATATAACAAAAATACGAAGACAAAAAAAAAAGAAGAAAAAAAAAAAAGGTCTCACCGGCCTTGTTCGGGAGGTCGACCTTCGCGCCCTTCGCCAGCAGGTCCTGGGCGATGCCGAGGTTGCCGTGGAAGGCTGCCATGATCAGGGCAGAGTGTCCTGTAAAGAAGAAAAAGAATCCTGCTTAAAATGCTTAATGGTATTTTTTAAATTTTCACTATTTTTCACTATCCATTCACATTATTCATTTATCCTTCTGTCTACCTGTGGAATGATGGTTTATGATGGATTAAAGTCAATATTCATCCAAATCCTGTTTAAAATGCCTGAGTATTTTTAAAAATTCACCTTTTTAACTTCCTATTCATTCACATATATTCATCTATCCCTCTCTCTACCTGTTTATGATGGCTTAGAGTCATATCTATTCTAAAATCCTGTTTAAAAGGCTAAGAGTATTTTGGAATATATTTTTTTTTCGAAACAGTAATATGATGGCTTGAAGTCAGTATCTGTTAAATCTAATTAGGGAAATCCATAAGTGAATTTTAGTTTTTGAATATTTGAATACTTTTTATATCTTTGAAGACAAAAACTCTTCGCATCTTGCATTTTTTAAATGATAATAATAATAATAAAAACATTATACCATCCATCACTCAATCCAACCGAAATCCTCACACACTAAAATAAAAACAAAAAAAAAAAACACACAAACAGACCCCAAATTAACCAATTTCAACTAAAAAAGGGAAACAAACCGAATTTCCGCGTCTGTGCTGTTCCAAAAAACAGAAAACAGCAAAACAATAAAAAACGAAATTTCTGCGTCTGTCTCTTTCGCA